TATGTATGTATGTATGCATATATAGATAGATATCATTTCTGTACTTCAAATGCTTATACTTTTTTCAGGTTGTGCTTGGAGAATATCACTGGCTATCATACAATGATGTTTTTAAGAAAGCTAAAGCATTTGGTGATGGTTTAATAATGCTGGGCCAACGACCAAAGACCAACATTGCCATCTTCTGTGAAACTAGAACAGAATGGATGATTGTAGCACAAGCTTGCTTCATGAACAACTTCCAACGTAAGTATGTGTATAGTATCAGTCTTTGGTGTATTTCTTCTATGCTTCTTTGTGTGTGTGAGCTGCTTGTTTAACTTGGTTATCCAGTCATTCAAAGAGAATCCACAACTTGGAGGAGTACACATCTGGGAATTCTGGGAGCTATAGTTCCAACATACCTGGAATATCTTAGAGTGGTCAGTTTTCCTCTTTGTAACATTACTGGCAAGTATCCATGCTATTATTATTTAAGAAGAAAAGCTTTTAGGGAAATAAAAGAAATCTAGATATTTCTTTGAGATTTCTTTTCTGAGTTCTGATCTACTTTGGTTTTTTTCTTTCTTAGCAAAACAAAAAAAAGAAGAGCGATTTGTTTTTAATCAAGTGTTCTTCCAGAAACTGGCACTATATATAGGAAACAGAAAGGTCATGGTAATGAGGAAGAAAGTTGAGGTTGGTTGAAAGATGTTCACTGGCAAGTCCCACTTCCATTTATAGTGATTTTCAAATACCTAATTAGCAGATAGGCAACCTTCTGTCTTGGGTCAGCACTGGGCTATATGGCATCAAAATTCTGGAAGGTAGAGTAAGTTTTTAAAGGAGTCTTGAGGTCAAAAATTGTAACTTTTATGAGTAAACAGATATCACTGCCCCCTTCCCTCCCATACATACTTTCTGGAATGCCATTCTCTTTTTCAGGGTTTTACAGAGTTTAACACTGCAGTCTTCTGCCCACTTCTCTGGTAATAATCTTTACTAAACTCAGAGTGAGGGTTATATATGACACTGTAATTTGCCTGTGAGAGTAGTTTGGTGTAATGGTTAAAGATACCGAGCTAAAGCTGGGAGATCATGAGCTCTAGTCTTGCCTAAAGCCTAGGAGCCTAGTCCCTCTCTCTCAATTACATGAACTGGTTTGATTATGTAAGTTACCCTCAGAAGAAGGCAATGGCAAATCACTTCCAAAAGAGTTGCCAAGAAAACTGTGTGGATTTGTTCATATAGCTACCTGGAGTCAAGACTGATTCAAAGACACACATACACACATTGCTTGTCTGTAGTAAATTATCAGCTCTGGACCTGGCATTTTCTACTTGTTTCTGAACGTACTT